TTCTCTCTCACAGCACCTGCCAGAGCTGTATTCACTGCACAGAGAGGCTCTGATCAGGCGCTGGAGCCTACAGAACCTTGCCTGGAGGAGGCTGTAGCACTGTAAGGTAGGGCACGCTCTCATCTCTGCACAGTAGTTCTGGGTGTGTGTAAGACAGGGTGTTCCAGGACTGGGAACTGGATCTACGGGCTGCCAAGAGCACTGGATGGGGCAGAGTGCCAGGCCTCTGGGATGAGGGCATCACTGGGCAAGGACCTGCAGGTGGGAGAGGTGAGGGGATCCCCAGCAGCAGTAGGGATACTGAGGTGGGAGGGGGGCTTGCCAGGCTCTGTTTGGGCACTTGTGCCCAGGCTGCCTGTGCAGCCGGGGTCGATTTGTAGCCTGCTCCTACCTGGCAGCTGTCGATGCCACCCTGTGGGTAGCCAGCGCACAGGTTGTGGGTGTGGATGTCCCCTTGATACCACTGGCTGCTGTTACAGGTGTTGACACTGATGAGGTGGACCTTGGCCTCCTGCAGGACAGTAGTCGAACTTGCAGCTGTGACCACAGAAAGGAATTAACACTCGTCAGCTCCTGGCCGGTTCTCCTCCCCTTCCCCAGTGCTTGGCTTTGCCCCTCAAGAGGCACTGGACCCGTGTTTTCCTTCTGTGTTGCTTTGCAGAGCAGGTCAGGCCCATCTCTCACTGCAAACATCCCCACAGCCCGAGTCTGGCTTTCACCTCTGCTGTCAGGAAGCCCAGCCTGTCTCCCCAGTGTGACAAGCTTGCCCTTTGAACGAGTACTTTTGGGGAACTCACATTTTGCTTTCCTGGAACCCCAACCACTGATGTAGCAGTCTGTCAGCTGGGACACTCTCACCAAATTGTCTGGCACACAGGTAAGCTGTATGTAGTTGTTGCACTGGACAGGCCGGTCCAGTTCCAGCAAGGCAATGTCGTTCTCCTCTGTGATCTTATTGTAGTATGGGTGAGCAATTAGCTTCCTAATCTTGCGCACCTGAGCCTCAGGGCCCAGCCGAGTCAGCCGGGTAGCCCCGAGCAGCACGAACCACGTCTGGATATGCCTGAAGGCAGATGAGAGAGGGGTCAATGGGAGCAGAGCCATGTGCCTTCCACTTCACAAGGGTGAAAGGAAAGCAGTGCTGCAGAGGGTGCAACTGTCCCTGTGTGCCTTTAGGCTCAAGGAACATCAAGTTGGAGGCTGCTAGAAAGCAATAGCATGAACCCAGCCTTCTCCTGAGCAGCCTGTCAGCTGGGCTCTGCAGTTTCCAGCCGCTGGCTGTACTGCAAGGAAATGGGATGGGAATAGCACGTGGTGCTGCAGGCAGAGCACCTGCTAGTGCTGTGGGGATATCCCCGCTCCCTGGTCCTCCTTACTTGGCCTTGATGAAGCAGTGAGCTGCTGTGAGGACCCACTGTGGGCTGATGAGGGACCCTCCGCATATGTGCACGGTGCCTACTGCTGAGCTCTGCTGGATGCTGACGATCCAGGGCCAGGCCCCTGGCAGGGCATCTCTGCCACCCACGATACGCTGCTTGCTGTAGTAAGCAGCCATGGGCCGGCGCCCGCAGGTTGCTCTGTAAGCAGAAACTCATTACTGTCCTGCCTGATGGCTTGCTGCTGCTGGGGCTGAAGGTCAGCTCTCTCCCTCCCCCCCCGAGGTGCTGCATGGACAGCAGGGAACCCTGCGGGGCACGCATCTCTTCATCTGCCCCTGTTTCTGTTTTAGTCCTGTAGACAAGTTGTGCCAGCAGCCTGGGTGCTGACAGGGGCCTGAGGTGCTCACATGGGGTTTGAGGAGCCGTGGTGTGGCAGTGGGGGCCAAGCAGGCACCCTCCAGTGAACTCCGTAAGAGTTGCCAGTGTCCCCTCCCGGAGCCTTGGGCCACTCACCCACAGCTGTTCTGCGTGTTGTGCACAGCCCAACACAGGGCCAGCAGGACAAGGAGAGGGAGCAAATTCATCACTGCCAGCGGCACATGACAGCTACAGCACCTGAGGGCTGGTCCCCACTACTGCAGCTGCCAAGCTGCCCGCAGCAGCTGATGTCATAGAGTGGCTGGTTCCATGGGGGATTCCAGCAAGGGGGGGGCAGAAGCTGGGATCAGGCACCCCCAGCAGACCCCTGCTGAATGCTCTGCTTGTGGGATGAGGGGTGTAGCCCTGGGGCGGGCAGCAGCACCTGCTCCAAGCACTGTCTGCTCACAGCTAGCAGATAAAAACCAGGGGTGGCATCGTAGGAAGTTCCCTGCTCTCTGCAGCCATTTGCCATCAGGTCCTTCTCCAAAAACGTACACCAGAGAACATTAGTGCTACAGACAGTATGCCCACATTTGGGTGGTGAAGACCCAACCTGGTTACAGCTGCAGCAGGCAAGCAATGATGTATGTGCCAGACAAGTAAGCTAAGCACAGCCTAGCAGTGTCCACCTTCCTGCACAAAGCACAGTGAAATGCAGATGCAGCACAGTCCACACTGGCTATGTCAACCACAGCAACATCCTCTGGCAGGCTGCATGTTCTTGCTGTCTGTAAGCTCTGTTGCTGTTCTGGCCTAGTGCTGACAAGGGCAATTGTGGCATCTGCTATGCATGGCCAAGGACACACGGTTTTAAGCTCTGGACAGAGAAGGATGCTTCTGCTCTCAGCCCCACGTGCCATTCTCAGTGGCTTATGGTGGAGATTTGCTCACATGCATGCAGTGTATGTTTTCTTATATTGGAAAACCAGTACTTAAAGGGGGCTGACAAGAAATCTGAAGAGGGACTTTGTAATTACAAAGGCATGTAGTGACAGGACAAGGGGAATGGCTTTAACTGGCAGAAGGGGGATTGAGATGAGCTCTGAGGCAGAAGCTTTTCCCTGTGAGGGTGCTGAGGCGCTGGCACAGGGTGCCCAGAGAAGCTGTGGCTGCCCCATGCCTGGCAGTGTTCAAGGCCAGGTTGGACACAGGGACTTGGAGCAACCTGCTCTAGTGGAAGGTGTCCCTGCCCCTGGTAGGAGGTTGGAACTGGATGAGCTTTAAGGTCCTTTCCAGCACAAATCAGTCTGGGATTCTGTGATTTTTATGTTTTATCATAGTTGCTCTATTGCTAGCCTTTCTCTTGAAATAGTGATTTCTCAATCATTTATGTTCATGCAGTAGTGAAGCATCCCATGTTTCACAGCTCTGTCCTGTGTCCCTTCGTGTCTTATGTAAAGCTGCCTAGTTTGTTTGTACATGTGCATAACAAGTTTTATTTTTCTTGTGGCTTATCAACTTGCCTCTGCTCTTCATGTGACACCTTCCTGCTTTCAGGAGCTGTGTTGCCTGGCTCTGTTCATCTGAAATGCTACCTGGTCTTTTTCACTTTGTCATGTCTGCTTTTTGTCATGGTAATATCCCTCTGCTTTTTATCAAAGGGTTCTAAATGTCACTGCTTTACCGAAACTGTGAGGAATATCAAGGTGTGCCCTTTTACTCTCTCTGCCCCATGGCAATCCCATCCTCCCAGCATAGTACTAAAACCTGCTCTATTTGCTTGCTGGAATTTCTGTGTTCAAGCAAGACCAACAGAAACTGTGTATAAAATAGGTAGCACCGAAGTTGCTACCTGGGCCTCTTTCCCATGTACTTTCTTGAACATTTTCTTTGTCTTTAGCACATGGTCTGGTTCTTGCAACTGTTTAGTGTCTCCATACTTTGATTACTGCCTTCCTGCTTAAGCAATCAGGAGCTTGGGTTTATTTGATTATTTCTTATTAAGAGTCAGAATTAATACAAGTTTTCTAGCTTGTATTAGCCCTTTTCTAGCTCTGTTAATGCTCACATTATCTGTTTGTCACTTTAGAGGGAACAGTGAAGTACTCAGAATTGGTAAGTGGCAGATTGTGTATCCTGATCCATGTCAGCAGATACTGATCTTTATTAAAAAGATTATTAAAACTATTGCTTAAAACTGTAACATTTTTACAGCTGTAATCATATTTTACTAAAAGTCAGTATTGCATTGTCTATCTTTTCTGAAGAGGAAGGGAGAGCACAACAATAAACTGTGGTACTGATCATGAATGAGAGAGTAGCAGCTTCTTATGGAAACATCTGTGGTTGTTACCTAACAGATTCTTTGAGTGAAATGCAACAATTGAGTTGCTTAAAAGTGTTTACTTTCCTAATTGAAGGTCAGCATCAGTGGGTACTATATCCCACAAGTACCCCATAACTTGCAGAGTCACAGAACTGAAAGTCTGTCTGAGGCTGGTTATATCCAAAACTAAAGGTCTTATGGAAAAAGTATGTAAATGCTTCATAAAATTACTGGAAAGTTGATGTGGGAGATGAAGAGGCCTCCTAGTTCAAAGCAGGGTTGTACCTGTCCATGGCAGCATGGCAAACTCAGTACAAGGGTTACTTTGTCTTCAGTCCACCAGTGGGCATGGAGAACATATAACTGCTTTATCTTTGTACAAGCCTTGTAAAGAGTTTTATGTTCTTTCAGGTTCCTCTCCCCTAGTCTAAATCACTCTTATTTCTTTTGGTCTTTCTTTGTTATGTGATTTTGCCCCTGATCATTTTTACTGCTCTTAGCTGAAGTATTTGTTGTTAATACACTTCTTTGTTGCAGCTGGGACCTGGCAGAGTGTATTCCTGTTTGTAGGCCTGGTGAAGTGCTTGTTGTCTTCGCAGGAAAACATACTGGTCATTTATGTTCCAATTCTGCCCCGCTGTAACGCGCAGATCCCCAGCCTGGCCAGCCTGTTGGTGTGGTTTATTCTGTTGTTGAACTTGTAGCCCTTTGTATTTGCCTTTACTCAATTTCAGGTACTTACCTTCAAGCCTTTTCTCAAACTTGTGAAGGTCTCCTGCAGTCCTTTCCAACAGGATGATATCTGTTCTGTTTGATCCCCAGCTTGGTTACAAACATTTTGACCAGGACTAGACCCAGGAAAGACCTCAGTGGAGCTGTGCATCATCCCTCCTGTTCAAAAGAACTGCTGAGAGCTGCCTCTCAAGAGCTATCCACCCAGTTTCCATGTGCCTCATGGCAGTTTCATAGACCATTCCTTTCCGCAGCTTCCAGAGGAGAATGATAAGTGAGATAGGCCCAAAAGTATTACTCAGATGAAGACGTAATGTGTTCCCAATTTCTCTCCTCCACACAAGGATGCGCTATATTGATTCAGTTCTGTTCTACTGCAGTTTTGACAATTCAGTAGCCTACACTTTGAGCAGACATCATTGGTGGTTCCAGTATTTCCTGAGAAAGTGAAAGGCAAAAAAATCATATGGCCCTGTAACCCTTCCCTCTCTTTTAGCTGTTTGTCCCTTCTAGAATGAAAGAGAAACTCCTGCCTTTGGTCTCCTGATTTTCCAAAGCTAGCGAAAACACAGTGATCACAGAAACACCAGTCCTGGAAAGCTTGAAAGTAAACCAGGATGACAGTATGATGGGAGACATCCCACATACCCCGGCATGTTGGATTGTCTTTTAGAGACTTTGTCTGAGATACTGTTCTCTTCTTCCCTTTCTCTTTATGCACAGTGCAGAGAGGTGGTGCAGTGTCACCTCCACATAGGCACCACATGGCAGTGCAGCAACAGCCCCTCCAGACCCCTGGTTTGTGCTGATTACAGCAAGATGCTAATGCTGAAAGCAGGAGATGCTGGCTCATTCCAGCTTCCTTGGCTAGCAAACCCCTCAACCTCTAAGTCATGTTCTTTAATTGCTGGTGTAGCTCTCAGAGAACTGCATCCCTTTATGGTTTCTTAATTCTGGTCTTTGCATTTTTGATGTGGGACTCTGTTTGGGGATCCACACTGTCCATCCAAAATTACTAACGGGTAATGTCAGGACAACTGTAATACCAAGAAGATGGAAAATGCCCTTCTTCCCCTTTCATGTGACAAAAATACAGAACCTGTATTTTACAATTCCTGCCTAAGTAATCAACAGTGTAAGCATTCAGTCTGAGGTCAATGTTTTGTGGGACTATTGCAGGGGTATAATTCCATCAGTCATCCCTTGGGATGTATTCTGTGTGCTTCCCCTTCAGCTTTAGCAGTTCTGATTGAATAGATAGGGATTTTACTTTTAGTCTGTTTGCACAAGAGTCGTTCCATGTGCCACATAGCAAACCTTCCTCTTCAGAAAGCCTCTCAGCATCACCAGACCCTTCTTAACAGAAAGCATTGCAGAAGAAAGTATCACGTGCATAACGCTTACCTGTGACAGCACAGAGGCCAAGAAATGCTCTTTGATCTTCATTCATATTCTGGAGAAGAGAGCACAGTGGTGAAAGAAATAGGACTGAAGTAATATTGTGTGGAAAAGCAGACCCACAACCACCCCCTCTGAAAGCACAACCATGATTTCCTAAACCAACGTACATGTCACTAGTGGAAAGCCCAAGTATGCAGACTCTGAATAAGTGGTTTGGAGGAGTGAGCGTGACTGAAGGTATAGAAGTGTTCTCCATGAAACTCAGCAGCAGATGGCCAAGAGAGGAGAGATGTGCTTTCAGTGGGATGCAGAGCGCTGGAGGGGCAGGTAAAAAGTAAACTAGTCTGAAGTAGAAGTGCTTATTGTGCTTTGTGCATTAGTGTTTGAAGAACTTGGGTGTTAGAAGTTTGTTAATGATTTGAAAAGTGCAGACCTTTGTGGTAGAGTTGAAAAGGCTAGATATAGATATCTTAGTTATTTTACTAAGCATAACTTGAAAGAGGGCTACTTGGGCCTTTCTTAAGAAGCATGGTTGGTATGCAAAAAAACTACCAATATACCACAGCAAAACTTTTAACATACCACACACCATAATTTCACAATTTCTGTGCTTCTGTTAATTCCCATGTATATAACAGTGCAGTAGTACATGAGATTTGTATTTATTTACGTATCTTCCATCTTGCCTTTCTCCCTTCAGACTCCTTCCCTAAATCCATCACATCATCTGCTGGGAAGAAGGATATTAGAAAAGGATAATATTCTGTAGACTGTTTTAAATAAATTGAATGGAATTGCAAAAAACTGGATGGATATTATCTGCTTCATTGCAAGAATTTTTCTTTGGCTTTATTTTTTTCCCAAGATAGAACACAGAAGTGATAAACTGTCTTAGCATATTTCAAAAGAGGAAGAGATGATGCTTTACCTGTTTTCTAGCGTTGAAAGAGACTGTGGACTGTAACATACTGCATCACATCCACCTTGCAAAGTAGCAAGCTGCACTTCAGAAACACAGCAAGATTTGGTGGGGTGTGATGCACTCGTGTATGGGGACCCACATCGTTGCAGATTGCAGTGGGGTAAATGGGGTCAGTGTGGAGAAGGGGGAGACTTTGGTGCAGGTAGAGCCTGCAAAGCACATCCTTGTTTTAAGGAAAAGCTGGTGTGGATTAAGAAAAACAGATGCACGGCACTTTCTAAACTGAATGGCAGCATTGCTGAAGAGGAGTTTGTCCTTGTGCAAAGCTGATTTCTGAAAGGCTGTCAAAGCTATTCCAAATTTATAGCCTGTGGAAGTGTCAGCTATGAAGTTAAAAATTCCCCAGTGCTGCTGAGCCAGGTGTCAGGCTGCTTGGCAGATGTTACAGGACTGTGATTGATCAATACCCATCAGATTGGGTACACTTGGTAAGCCTGGTTTTCTACTCTCTCACTGTTTATTGTCTTTTCCCTTCAAGACCTTTCTCTGATGTGTTTTGGGATGGAAGAGAAGGTAGATAATGGGGAATTTAGGCAGGATTGTGCATCAGTCCCATGCAGGTTCCTTTGTTTAGCAAGGAGAGTGTTTCCAAAACAATGTAATCAACAAACCCCACCCTCCTGAAAGTTAAAGCAGAGTTTGATCTGGAGGGGTTTCATTTCTGCAGGAAGATTATTTTTTTTAATCTCTTAAATACATCCCAGCAGCAAAGGTGCATAGTGTCAACGGATATGAAGGATCCAGTCTAACCTCAAATTCTCCATATCTACAAATCTGCAGGGGAATAGCTAAAAATTTCCTGTGAAGCACATCTTTGCCAATAAATGTAATTAAAGTGTATTGGTAAGTTAGAGACACAAGTTGCAGATGTTTTAGATTAAAAGCTAAATCTGTCTGGATGCTGAGAGGTTTCATTGCCTTGCAGTGAGATCTGGTCACATTTCAGGGGTTAGAAAGGATGTCTGAGGTTTGAGCTACATCTGAATAGAGCCATCCTTTGGCTGGTGATGATGATGAGGAAGTGGTGAACTGTTGCTGGAGAGATGGAGAGCACTAGTGCAAGGGCAAGCTTTATACATCTTGAGACAGAAATCTGTCTGAATGCTCCTTTGCAAAACTCCTTTGGCTTTAGAGAAGGCTTCAGAGTATTTCTGAAGGGGTTTAAGTGTGAGCTGGTTTTGTTGTGAAGGAACAGACACGTCTGTTGATCCTTCCAGCTCTCACAGCTACTTCACGATTTGCAACAGGGTGATGTCATTTTTCTCTTCCTTTCCATTGGGCAATTGCTTGTACACTCTGGAGGCTCCTGTGGCAACACACTAATCTTATTGTGGAGTGTTTTGGTGGTAACTTAGTATATGTACCAATACATACCAATACCAGGTTCTGTTTGCTTTGAAACATCTACGTGGTGACTTCTGCACAACAGGCACTGTCGTAGCGCAAGGACTCTGTCACTGAGGGAATGCTGAAGTAACTTGTAGCAAATCTTGAAATCCAAATTAGTAGATTGTATCTGCTCCAGATATTTATGGTGTTTAACTACCTCCTAATGAGACCTATAACTTGAAATGCTGTTTGATAACGTGAAATTCAGGGTGAGGCTTGAAAAGATCTAGGTTTTAATCCTGTCTGGCTGCTGTCCTGCTGGGCTACTTACCATGAAGTCAGTCCCATTAGTGACATCTGGGTAAAGAAAACAAACTTCTGATGCAACTTCTTTGCCTACTAGAGTGTTCACCTGTTTGAGTGGAACTTACTTTAACTTTGCTCTCATCCTATTCTGGAAGTGCAACAGTTTGCTAATGACAATCAGTTTGATTATTTCATTTGTCACCAGCTAAGTTTTTTCAGAGCATTATGTGTCTGCCTATTTCTTTCCCTTGCATCAAGAAGCAACAGTAAAATCTTAAAAGGATCTTATCTGTGCAAGGCTTGCAATGTATATTACTTTTCTGACAGAGGCTCTTAAATTGTGCTGGTGTCAAATCTGTCTTTTACATCTATACTGAGCAGCAAGATGATAATCCAGGCTGTTCGCATGGAGCTGACACATAATAGAGTTTGGGGGAGGTGTGGCAGGTGGCAGATTTGGTATATGCAGCACAAAAAGAGCTAGTGTTTGGTTGCAGGTTAACGTATATATGATTGAAAATCTTCGTATGTTCTCTAGCCAGGTGTGATCTTAATAGAGACTAGATTTGGTCAAACATATGTGTCTGTTCATGTATACCTCCCCTATTTTATCTGCTTTTGCTGAAACTTGATTCATATCCCCACAACTCTGTAATGCTTTAAATAATTTATGTATAGCAATTAGCTGTGTGGAAGACACCAAAAGACATTTATTTCACCAACCCTGAAACCATACCTCCTTCAGAATTACTCTGCAGTATTAACACTACTGTAAACCAAGATAGTTACTAGCTTGGCAAATGGATTCTGTATGAAAGGCTCTGCACTTGTGGACTGCAGAACCACTCTGAAATTCAGAGTACACACAGCAGCTTCATCCTTCCTGAACTCCATGTTTCAGATAAGAAACAGCAATGAATAGTGCTGCACCCCTGAGAAGAGGGGATGCCTGTGAAGGTGTGCCAACCAGTCATCTTTTTGCTTTTCAGTCCACAATAGTAGAAATCATGGTGCTGCTGGATACGTGTAAAATTATGTGTTCTGATTTTAGAATCTGCTTTGCATTTCATTGGCTCTAGCTGAAGTCCTCTGCCTTCCTCTCATTTGCTTACATTAGAGAGAAGAGTACATGTCCCTTTGAGCTGTCTCAGTACCTCACCAATTCCCATTTTGTGTTGAGAAAGATGTTGGAAAGCATCAGCTGGGGTAGTGCTGCTCTCAGAGCCAAGCTGCATCTGACATTGTGTAGTAAAGTTTGGGCAAAGCTATCCATCTAGTTTATGCTCAAATTCTACAGCTCTCTCAGCTATAAGCATGTCCACTCATGACTGAGATGGAATCTCCTGATGAGAGCAGCAACAAGACACGTAATCAGCCTTATAAATAAGTGTAAGCAGTGGTGCAGGTTCTGCCACCTTTGCTTCAAGTGTTGCGAAGATCACAACTGTGGGCACAAAGTTCAGAGGAGCCCAATGCTGTTTGTCCTATGAGGAGCTGTGGAAGTTGAAAGAACATGACTTAAGCATGAATATATCTTTTTGAATGCTGTTTAATTCAAGTTGTTTATCGGGAAATATTTATGTTTCATATGAACTCTTGGAGGAAGGATTTGGCTTAGTTACAACAGGGATATGGGAT